CCCCAAAACCCCAAAACCCCAAAACCCCAAAACCCCAAAACCCCAAAACCCCTTTATATATTTTTAATATTGAAATAAATCAATTTTATTATAAGCGTTTTCCTATCTTCTTGGACGGCAGATGTGGTTTAATTTCGCAGCATGAGAGAACTTATGGGTTTGGGTTCGACATTCATCTCCGTACCAGCAATCTTGCCGAGTTTGTACATTATTTGGAAGAAGTGCAGATATGCTAAATCTATACCAATATATAACTTTTTGCCAGACATCAGGGAATCATCTTCTTCAAAGAGAAGAGTCTTTCTCCAAGGTATGCTTGCTTCCCTCAGTATTGGTAATATCCCAATTTCCGTCAGCTTCGAGTCGGGAGAAAATATCGCTTTTAAACTGAATTTTAGTGAACTTTTTCTTCTTCACATAATCCTTGAGTACTCTTTGTTCATATTGGTTCTTATTCAAGGCGTCTGCGGGTATCCCAATAAATGGAAAAGTTTCTAAGGGAGACACTTTATTTATCGCTTGTTTACTTCAAGGCCAATGCTGGTGTCAGAAATAATTCAGACAGCAGACACACCGAGTGTGCACTCCAGCCTTCCCAGTTAGAGGAAATGCTACATTTCATGCTGCACAATTAACATGCCTCGTATCTGCGTCTCATTGAAACCCTCCAATACTCTTATGACAGTTTCTACATCTGGGCCTAAAAGATGTAGCTACAGCCTTAGACTCTTTCTTCTTCTCTTCTTCTTTATTATCTTCTTTGCTTTCCTCTTCAGAAGTCTTTTTCTGTGGCTTTTTCTTTCGATTCTTTTTCTCTTCGGCTATTTTCTTGTCATGCTCCTTCTTCAACTTATTTTCCCATTGCAAGAGTGACTGCCTCGTTATTAAAGCAGTCACTGTCATCCTGTAACTGCTTCGTATCGTCGACTTTGGCATCCTTCGGGTTATCTTTGAGGTGGGCTTCAATCATGGAGTTAAGTAGATGGTTCCGCTTGATAGTCTTTACTTTATCTCGTCATTCAGGTCAGTTACCGTTTTTAACCATCCAATCTGCGTAGCACCCACCTCAGAAGTTATGCAATCATGGGATTAAACAAACAGGTTTGTACATTATTTCGAGGCAAAAAGAGCATTTCATCTGTTGGACTGCATAAGGGGTATCCTGCCTTAGAATTTTCTTCTGAGGTTGCTCCTTTTTAGATTCCTCCTTTTTGTCTTCACCATGTCCTTCCATTTCACTTCTTTTACGTCTCTGGCCAAGTTTGGACTCTTCAGGCTTAGAATAAAGGGATACAAAGATGAAACCGATTTTCTCATTCTCGTTTTCGTCCTTAAGGAGGTATATCTTGTCCCCGTTCTGTAGCTGTACAGGCTCATCCTTGCTAACTCTCTTGTCATTAACGAATGTTCCATTTGTCGACTTGTCAGTGAGGGTAAATTCCCCAGACTCTTTGTCTAGCTGCACTTGGCAATGTTGCCCGCTATTTCAGAAGAGTTAGAATATGCAGATTGAATGGCATAAGAGCTTACCTGATTTTACCATTTGGAATCTGATGTCCACAATCCTTTTTCCTTCCAATAATCACGTCGGTTTCTAAAATATCAAAATCCTTGGCAGTTTCATCATTAAGAGAGGTAAATTTCGCATAAATTTCAGCCATTTTAATTATAATTTCTTGATAAATTTTATGAGGAAATTCAAATAAAATCCCACAAATTTTCAATATTCCTTAAAAATTATGGGGTTTTGGGGTTTTGGGGTTTTGGGGTTTTGGGG